CCCTGTCCCTGCTGGCCACCCCTCTTCTGATGGAGCCCAGGACACCATTTGCTTCCCGAGCTGCAAAGGCACACTGCTGGCTCATGTTAAGTTTTGCATTTATCAAGACCCCCAGGTCCTTCTCCACAGGGCTGCTCTCAAGGACCGCTCCTTCCAGTCTGTAGGGATGCCTGGGATTCCTCCGGCCCAGGTGCAAAACTCTGCACTTTGCCGTGTTGAACCTCATCAGGTTCACCCGGGCCCACCTTTCTAGCCTCTCGAGGTCCCTCTGAATGGCATCCCGTCCTTCAACCCTGTCGACCGCACCACTCAGCTTGGTGTCATCAGCAAACTTGCTGAGGGTGCACTCAATTCTGTCATCGATGTCATTGATGAAGATGTTAAAGAGCACCGGTCCCAAGACAGACCCCTGGGGGACGCCGCTCGTTACCAGCCTCCACCTGGACATAGAGCCATTGATGACCACCCTCTGTCTGCGGCCTTTCAACCAGTTTCTTATCCATCGAGTGGTCCATCCATCAAATCCACATCCCTCCAGTTTGGAGATAAGGATGTGTCAAAGGCCTTGCTCAAGTCCAGGTAAATGACATCGGTCGCCTTTCCCTTGTCCATCGATACTATCACTCCATCATAGAGGGTCACCAGATTGGTCAAGCATGACCTTCCCCTGGTGAAGCCATGCTGGCTGTCTCAGATCACACGCCCTTTCCTCATGTGATCAAGCATGTCATCCAGTATGATCTGTTCCATGATCTTCCCAGGCACAGAGGTGAGACTCACCGGCCTGTAGTTCCTGGGGTCCTCCTTGCTCCCTTTCTTGTAAGTGGGAGTGACGTGACCCTTCCTCCAGTCATCCGGGACCTCACTTGACAGCCACAACTTTTCAAATACGATGGAGAGCGGCTCGGCAACCACCTCAGCCAGCTCCTTCAGAACCATGGGATGCACGCTTCTATAATGGGAAAGACTGTACACTTTTACACATTAAGTATTCCAAAAGAAAATTTACTGTTAGGCGATGATACAAAAATAGGTCCCTTAATTAGTTATCAAGTCTCTTTCAGCTTCTGATGAAGTTTTTCTTTCTTGAGCTAACATCCTATATATTATATAAATAAAACCACTCTGCAACAGTTCTTCCTTTCTACAAACACATTTAAGAAAATAAGAAACTAACTCATAGGACAACTAACACAAAGTGCTAGATGTCAGGCTTACCACAGCAGTCAGTAAAGTGTGCAAACTACTGGAACTCTTGTGCTGACATCCTTCACATTACATAAGCAAGTGAGAAGAAGAGATTGATCACTCAATTTGATTCTATTTTTTTGTCACGTTAGGCATTTAAAGTCCAAAAGTATAATCAGTGTAATTAAAACAGCTGGATCCCAAAGATAGACCATGAACAAATAAGCACTTGAAAGGAGAAATAAATGTTTAGATGCTTCTAGCAGTACTCTACTGCTAGTACGTATTTCCTAGATGGAGTTACATGAAAGCTCTCATGCTTGCAGTTGGCCTCCATTCGGTTGAGAGTGTGATTGTAAAAGGTCAATCTTCAGCATTATTACATTTGAGGGGCAAGATGCAGCACAAGCAACCAGAGCTAATCAGTAGGAATACTTACTCATGCTTAGTGTGATAAGGAGAGGGAGAAGGAAAGGAATCATCCCTGCTCATCTCTTCTCTTTCCCAAAAGGTAAGCACATCCAGAGAAATAAATCCTTATGATTCGTTTTGTGTCAGAACGAGAAAGGATTGCCAACAATGATCTTCACAAAGGCCAAAAAAAGGCACCAAGTTTAAAAAGAAAAGATATTTCAAACAGTAATACTTCCCTCTTCCCACAGACCTTCTAAGAAGGCTGTGCTTACTTTAACTTTCAAGTCCTCATTTCCATGAAGCAGACAAGCTACCTACATAGCACTGCGTTTACAGGCAAAAAACTAGGCTTGAGCTACTGAGCCAGGTAAGAGAGGTTTTCAAGTCCCACAGCATTCATGTTCAGTAACAGCAAATGATTACAGTCCAGGCTGACCGCTCCAATTATTGAGCAAGTTTCTACACCACATTTCTGCTGGAAACAAGATTTACCCCACAGCCCCAGGATGGAGCAGTTCCAGCACCAGCTCACAACTCAGATAAACCACAAGTCCTATCATCTCATCACAAAGAACTTAGTCAGGAACACGGCCACAGCGAGCAAACTGCCACCCTGCCATCAGCATGCATTTGCTCATGGCCACTGTATGAAGAGCCACATGTCCGTCTGGTAGCGCATACAGCACACAGAAACCTATACTTACACATATAAACTGCAACAAGGAAACAGCAGTCAAAGAGCCACGAATTACCAGTTCCTCAATTGCCTGAGGAAGGAGAGCGGTGAGGGTTTCTTCAAAACCACATACATTTTCAAAATGAGACAGTGCAAAGGATTAGTGTGGAAAAGAACTAGGGCTGCCCAAACAAATGCTGCCACACTAAAAGGCCGTTGAGACAAAAAAGATTTGGTACAACAACAACAAAAACTGCTTCAAAGTTTGAATCGCAAAACTCTCAGTGGGAAACAGAGAACACAACGTTTACTCTTCAGTCGCAGAAAATCCAATTTTTAATTTCTGTATTAAATTTCACGCTACAGGTAGAAAAGCCAGCAGCAGTTCTCAAAGTCAAACAAGTCTTATTAAAAAAATTATATAGAAATGACCACCTTTCATGGCATCAGTCAGCAATCTTGCAGTCCTCTACCTGGCAGCTGCTGCCTTCTTTGCATGTAGATGCTGAAATCAGAGCTACTTGTGCAAGCAGCTTTTTACCTCCGGAGGAAAAAGAGACAATATAAAGCTGCCCAGTTTGCTCTGTGAAAGTGGCTCTGGCAGTGAACAGAGAATGAGGATGTTTGAGAAAGACCAAGTAGCCTACCGTGAAATCAGTGAGATGGTGTTGAGCCAGAGCACTAAGAAGAATATCACAGTTGAATAGGAATCTTCCTAAAGAGCTCTGCAGAGTTTCTGGTGGGCCAGACAGGAGCCTGTGACCGATAAAGACTGGAAAGAATTCTGTGAGAAACAGAATTTCATCTTTGCCCCACAGCTGAAGCATCTTGTCCTACCAGAGAATTTTGGTACACTGAAATAAGTTTCTTGCAACAGCAGCATATTTCTTTCTATTTGTCTTACCACTGACAATGTACTTTACACTTTTCCTATATGTACAGTAGTGTTTTTGGCAAGAATAAATTCCATACTTGTATCTTTGGCAAACATTCACTGTAATTTAATCATTAACTTCTCTGCTGCCACATAGAAATCTTCTGCATCAAGCCTGGTTTTGGGAATTTCTAGACCATTTTTAGAGCTGCTCGATGGTCTGTTTAATATGGTGAGGAAACCAGTAAGCCAGGGCATGGCTTATAAACCTTGCTCTGAAACTTTATAACTTGTATGTTGATTCACTGCTAAATGTTACAGACATACAAAGACAGAAACTTTATATACTTTAATATCAGGGCAAGAGGAGTGTTATGTTAATAGCACATTTTCCCAATATCTAGCAAGTTCTTACAATGAGTTTTTAAAATCCATGTAATATTTGGCAAAAGTACTCATGACTAAGAAATAGTTACTGTTGTATGATCTTCTTTTAGGAATAATAGACACTGTGAAGAAGGAAAGAGAGAAAGAGAGAAAGACATTTTCTGGGAATTCAAACCTAATGCAGAAATCCTCCTTAAAAAAAAAAAAATAAATCCCATAAAGCACGGAGGCCACTCCATATTTACAGACATTTTGTTTTATCTATTGGGGCAGTCACTTTACATCATACCAAAAAGACTGTATAACGAATACAAGTGTCAAGAATCAGATTTTTATGGCACAAAAGGAAGTTTTCCATTAACCTGCTTTCAGAGTTGTTAAATACATAACTGAAGACAAACAAACTAAGGCTACCACAAAATAATATTTTCATGATGATGTTAGTCTTTATTCAGCTTTAACTGACTCCTCCAGTCCAAAGGTGGAAAAGAATCTTTCCATTAATTTGTTTCAGCGATTCATTCAGGATGAAAAGATCCTTTTCCTACGTTTGACACAAATTTAATTTCTTATTTATATTGTTATTCAAAGTTCACATAAGCTTTAATGTTGTACCTTAGGCTGCGTGGAATTTAAGATTAAAATAAAACTCTACTCTTAACATAACCCTTTCTATAATGTAAAAATATTCTACACGTTTAACATATCATGAATGTTAAGCATTCGCTTTGGGGAAAAACTATTTTAGTTTTTTTTCAGCACAGAACCAACTGCTACCGGTCTGTATGAACGCATCCCTGTTATGTTGGGTGCCACCCAGTGTTCATCTTCCACAACTACAACTTAGCTACTGAATAGACAAGAGCTAAGCATACAAGACAGTTTTCAACAACTGCAAATTTAAGATGCTGCTTATGTTTTATCGTTACTTCTCCTCTACCCATCCGCTGTAGCAAATTTGCTTCTTTGAGATTATGAGTGTTCTTAATTATCAAAATCTGTATAAAAATAGCAGCATGCTACGAGATGTGAAAAGCAGATTCATGCATTATGAATTAAAATGCAGATCTCTGCCTTCCTTTTATATTATCAAAATCTTTTAAAGTTAACATCAAGGCAAGGGGTATAAGGACAGACACTGCATAGTACATTTTAATACTAATCTGAACTGGGTATTTAATCAAAATTCATGATAATTACAGGGTAAACAATTTTTATTTCAAAATACAAGTTTAACTGGAATTGTAGTGATGAAAGCACAAGAGGGGAAAACCAGAGTCTTTTACAGCCCGTGTCTCTGTATCTCACTTATACCCGCTCTAATTGGTGAAGGGAAAATATTTATGGCATTTCATTTAACTTTTGTGATAATCCAGCATTATCCATTTCTAAAGAAATATAAATACTTTAAAACAAACATTGAAAATAAATCCTTTTGATGTAACAAACTACACTCTTTACCAAGAATTTTCAGTCTTCTTAAAAGAAAGGTACTTCACCCAAAAAATAATCAAAATATCAATGTAGAACAATCCTTGGAGGAAGAAAGTTGGAATGTAAACCTCTGTTCCAAATTAGATCTGAAAAATAAAAAGAAAAATAATTTTATTCACATGTAGTTTTCATCAGTTCCGTCTTTAAACTATTTTTTACATCTAAACAGGAAACTTCCTGAGCTCCATACAATAATGTTTTTCCCTCAGCTTGTATCCCCCCTTTCTTAACATGTGAACAATTATGTTCTTCCTATGCCTTCATCACCAATGTTATGATACTACAGTTACATAGGGGAACAGCTATGCCAATATTCATACAAGTAGCACAAGCATAAAAAAGCCCAAACGGAGTTTAAGGATAACATCCCTAAGTACTGACCTTCCAAACAAGTTCAGTGGCAAAATGAACTTTTCTAACCATTCTTTTGATGTGAACAACTATGGAAAGGTTCCACCAAGTCTTTCATGTTGACTATGACTTTCAAAGCCATACATGATTCCACGTAGACTGGGATGATCCTCACAGAGATTACTCTTATTTTGTTATTTCATGTCTCTTCTTTTCTTACAGCATGATATTAATATTATATAACGTACCTAAGAAACCTGAAAATAATCAGAGCTGCTCACTTTAATACATTATCCCACACTGTGATCCATTAGTTTGCAAATTGCATTCTTGCAATATTCATACAGCAATTTATCACATCCAGATCTTACAATGGCTCCATTATTAAAAGCAAATATTACTACAAAGTGTTTCCAGCTACAGTAAACTCAACCACTGACAGGTTCAAAGTGCATTTTTCAAAAGTTTGAAGAAAAATTCATCAAGATTTTGGATAGTTTGAAAGAAGTGATTGAAATGGAGCCTCAATGAGGTCAAAATAATGTAAGCATAAGGAGAATTGGTTCATAACACCAACTCAGAGAAACGACTAAAAAGATGAAGACTTAAAGTGTAAGACAATAACTTGAATGGTCTATCCAATTAAGTTAACTCACTAGCTCAGTAAGTTACTAATTATCCCCTGAGCCAGCTGACCCTGCACACATTCATCTTAGTGCTGCAAAATAAAGCACAGCATCTTTGAAAAGACTTTATAGCAGATTATGATTGAATTATAATAAATTTTACTACTATAAGAGTGTACAGTCAGTTACTGCTTATCATAGTGATAAGCACCGACAAGTGAATGTGACAATCTGCAAATTCATGATTATCATTAACTCCAGCACTGCTAAAGTGCAGCTTTTGTGATTTTAAGATACACACGAGACAAAACCAGAGATTTAACATCTTTTTTTAAAAAATTAAAACAACAAAAAACCCACAAAAATCTTTCAGTTGTTTCTTACTAGATAGTGAGGTTGTTAAAACTACAGAGAAATCAGAAAATTGATAGCCACGTTTTTGATGCAACTGCTATATGAACTATGACCTGCTCTATAAATGTGTCCAATACAATTTGCATTCACATAATCCTTGGCTCATCCTGCTTCAACTGAAGTGGCCAAATCTGCCCCATGTGACATGGGAGCTGACCCACAAGTCTTTGTGCACGCTGCCTGGGATGTCTTTCTAGCCTTCATTGCAGGAGATGCCAAGAAATCCTAATAGTCTGCTAAACCTTCCTACATCATCTACTTTGCTTTCCATCATGAGCTTGTTGTAATGAGCTTACAGTTCAGAGAGCAGCACCTGGGGCTGCATTCAGCTCCTTCAATATCCAGCTGTGTCCATACATCTAGTTGATGCTGTAATTGTAACTCCTCCCCTGTACATGCATGTACACACACACACAACCACTTGGATAGCCACTGCTACCTAAATCTGTATCTTTGGGGTCAAACGACTTTGACTGTGAGTACCTCAAGGGTAATTAGAAGATTTTAATGGTACGAAACTAAGTACACATGCTTTGCGTAGAGATCAACTAGAAGAGGACAACAGAACAGAAAAGAGAACAGAAAGCTGGTGTGCTCATGTCCACACCCCTTTCTGAAGCAGTCCCTTGCTCAAACATCTGCCAGGCTTGTCTGAGTAAAAGCATTCAACTGTCTTACTCCAAAAAGGATTCTGTGGGCTGAGAAAGTGAAGGAACAAGTCCTTGAAGCATGTAGATACACCAAGCACCACAACACTCTTCAAGAACAAAATCCTTGACAAGGTAAGCTATTCTGAACACTCATGTGCAGTTTTACTCTCTCCAAAAAACATCGAAAGACAGCTTAGTGTCAGTATGAGTATGAGAGTTTCAAACATATCATACGGAACATGTCTACTACTTACATCATCAATATCTTCATCATCATCTCCAATATCATCAAACTGGATTTCATCATCATCTCCGGGACCAAATGTGTCTGTTTCATTGATTTTAGCTAAAAAGGCATTCAGAAAGTTAAGGAGAGTATTCATACCAAGTCAAGATAGGCTACATATTCTTGTTTAACTTGAACTTCCAGTTTGAACTGAAAACGTTCTTACCATGTTCTGGAAGCTCCCCATATGCTTTCAGACTTCTGGCTTCATCTGCATTATACTTTAGAATAACATCAGCTTTGTTATCCTAAATAAGAATGTATTAGAAGGTATTAGTCATTTATGATGGAAAAAAAGACTCCCTAAGAAGTACACTAAACTAGTAACACCTGTATTATTTATAGAACAGTAGTGTCTTCTTCCTCCTTTATTTCTATTTTTAATCCCGAGGTAAAAAAAATAAGCGCTCCCTGTAGAATATTTTCATCTGTGCTGGGAGATACTCAATTTTGTTCTGCTATCAGTCACTTGAGAAGCTTGGTTTCATGTCTTTAAAATTAATCTTTCTTCACAGAACACACACAGGGAGGTGCTTGGTGGTCAGTAAGAAAATGTCAACATTTTCGAGTTTTAAGCAATTTAAAACATGCAGTGAACAACAACATCTTGGATGTTTTACCATATCTAAGCAGAATTTATCCTTGAACCGCTGATGACAAAATCCTGAAACTCATGAAAAATCACATAGCCAATGAAAATTCACGTTAGGTAAAGTTACACTTCCAGTAACAGAATAATGTAAGTAGAAACTAATTGGTGATAAAGTGACTGGTCGAGATAAATGCCTACCACCAAGGATGCAAAATTCTGATTACCACAACGAAACGTTTGGTGCTTGGTTCCATCTTCCTTATTTCACAGGACCCAAGCATCAAACAGCTACACCTGGAAAAAAATAAAAAGTCAGGTGTGATGCTAATAAGGCCAGGGTGACTGCCAACAACATCTGAGGGAGCAATTAAATTTCGAAGAACAAGTTTAACCAGGATTTGTCATCTACTCAAGACAATCTCTCTGTAACGCGAGGAAATTAAAAATCCTGATTTAGCATAACCAAACATAAATTCAAGCAAAATTAGATGTGGATTTACTCAGGATACTTGCTGTAACTTCACACTACACAAAACTGGTTGTAAGCTATTTCAGTGACAGATTGCATTGAAAGCTTACCTGGTAGTCTCGTAAGCCAACCAATATAATATCAGAAGTATTTATCCAAACCTGAAAGAGTAAGCATATGCTACATTATAGGAATTCAATTTCTTGTTGTGTAATGCAAAACTCAAACACATTTAATTTTACTGCACAATATTAAGCATTTCACTATGGTCACCATTTTCACTTTCTACCCAATAACCTGGAAATCCTAACTTTCTATTTTCACTGAAAAATCCAGCTCCTGAATACTAGTACAAATATTATTTAGCAAGTTACAGGGCTATTATGAAGGTAAATCAGACTTCTTTGAAGAGTTTCTAGTCAACAAGGTGGTTATTAAGTCATTACTTCCCAGAGAACAACAGAAATAATGCACTGAGCCACCCCACTGAGCTGAGCTCCGCAACAGCTAAAAAAGTTGGTGAAGGAGGTGATGAAGAACCAGTCACAAACCCAAGAAAACAAATGGAGCTGTTTCTAGTAACTGGCTACAGTAATCCATCAAAACAAAGCCCTCAGAAACCTGCAGAACACGATATACTGATAAAAATGCACAAGATGGTCCTATCCCACAGTAGCTCCTCCGTTTGGACTTGCTTCCGACATGAGGAATAGCCTTCTGTGGTGACAAATTAATTCTGCAGTAGGCAGCATTTATCTGTGAACATTCTCCATCACCTTTAACAGTTTGAGCAGCACCACATTGCTGGCAGCTTGCAGGGCTCACAGTGATACCAAAATATGTGCAATGATCAGCCCCTGAGAATTAATGGGTAGAACAATCCAGAATGAACACAGCGACTGCCTATTTTTACTGGGAACAGAATGTGAGAGGAACACCTGCATATCACAAAGGACACAAAGGACAAAACTGTAACAACCAGAAAGGGCAAGAGATGGCACCAAACCATCCAGAGGTGCCGAAGTTAAGACTGATAACGCATACATCCCCATGGAGGTAAGGAATTTTGCAGATCAGCTTTGCATTAAGATATTTTAGGAACTGATGAAGCAGACAACGAAGGGATGGCATCTGAGGGGCCTGTGGAAGCTGTAAGTTTGCCCCAAGCCCCTGTCAGAACTGCTCTCAGATAAGTCACCCAGTGAGAGGATGATTATAAATAATACTCAGTTCTTCTCTGGTACAAAGAATAAGCTCAGCAAGGTATCAAAACATGATTCAAGTTTCCATAATATGAAAAGTTAGCATTTCATAAGCAGTCTGATATCTCCTCTGAGGTACATACAACTACTGAGGGCAGCCCTTCAACTCTGGAGCTGCACTCAGAAACCAGACTGCCTATTTTTGTGCTCAGACAATACAAGAAAAAATAGTTTACTATTAAAAACAAAATTTGTTAAGTAAAAACAAGATTTATTATCTCTCCTGTAAAGAGCTACTTACTTTTTTTGTTTTCTTACAATTACTTGTCATGCATAATGCCACTGTTTCAGAATTACCTTTTTTCTTAGTTTCCCTCTGATATGACATAACCTCTTCACACCGTCAAAACACAATGCCTCCAGTCTTCCATTGCCTAACATCTTGATCACCTGGGCATATTCTGAAAGAGAGGGTAAGAGAGAATAATAACGTGGAGACACAGTGTAACTTGTGTCACATAACCAAATTCTGCTGTAACATTTTATTAAACACAAACCTGCAGAGGACCTCTCATCAGCCACACTGGCAGCTGAAGTTCCCTCCTGACACTGACTTGAAAGTATTATCACAAGCAGCCACTATTGGTTACAGTCATGCTTTGGTTTCCTCTAAATGCTTCCTAAAGATAACTTTTAGAGCTAATGAGTAACGCTCAAGAGTTTATTACAGCAGCATTGCTCCTGTCCTGCCAAACCCCCATATTATCACTGACAGAAGAGGAGGATGTGCTATGTGCTGGGTACCCCCACCACTACTCCCAATCCTTTCTGCAGAGACTCTATGGATACAGCTGTTATTCTTGAAAGGACGAGTTCTGATCTCAGAAACTGTCTGAAAGGCATCTCTGTACATACAGGCTTCAACTGGAAGCTGTGTAGATTCTCTCCAACACACTATTAAAGTTTGCAACATAATGTATTACTATTCAGCAGAAAATAATGTGGCTTTTGAGAATAATGTTACCCGACCATCCCTGCGTGCCAGGAAAATAAATATTCTCAGTTAGAGTCAGAGTTACATTTCAATACTCTAAAATCTTCCCACAGCACAAGATGGACCATCCAGCAAACCACATCATCTGATCTGCACAAACTGTGCAGATCTCATTACATAGATTTTGCTTGGGAGTTGAAAAGGATTTTAAATTTTATAGGTGCATCAAAATCAAGCCCTTTTTGCTTACTACTATTGTGGAATATGAACAAGAGGTTAAAGAAACACATTCAGCTGTCCCTGCCTGTGCAGCAATTTAAATCAATACTTCTCCAGTGTTTCTAATAAACTGTGTTTACCTGGTCCCAGTGCTTAGCTGGTGGCTAGGCATGCACTCAGGTATACGTGAGCCACAGCCAGAGCATGACATGCAGGACAGGGCGAGCCAGAGGGCAGGTGAGATCACTGCCATCAGAAGGCAGAGGACAAGGGAATTCTGGCCACCAACCTCCACTGTTGCTCACTGCACCCCAGAAAGGGCTGCACCTCTTGCTCCTGCTCTAGTAGCTGCCAGGTGTCCCATCCCCAGCCCAGCATGTTAGTGAAGTCAACAAGGTTCAGTGAGAGAACAGAGATTATGTTTTAGCCAGGTCTGTGACTTCAGAGATTCCACAAAAGACACCAAGAACCATACAGCTGGCACAGAGCAGGCAGTGGGACTGTGCATCCAAGGGACAACCTGCAGCTACCAGCAGCAGAACAAGCTACACACAGCAACCCAAGCAACACCTATCTTTATTCCCCACTGCCTTTGAGTTCCTCAGACATCTAGATGCTATCTTTGAGCACCAACTTCCAATGTGCAGGATCTGTGGTGACAGGACAAGGGGAAATGGTTTCAAGCTCAAAGAGATTAAATCAAAGAGGGTGGATTTAGGTTAGAAGTAAAGAAAGTCTTTCTTTTATAGTGATGGTGGTGAGGCACCGGCAGAGGTTGTTCAGAGACATGGTTGATGCCCTGGCCCTGGAGACTTTCAAGGCCAGCCTGGATCAGCCCCGGGTATCCTGATATAGCTGTGGTGTCCCTGTTCATTGCAGGGACTTGGACTACATGGCCTTCAGAGGTCCCTTCCAACTCTAAGGATTCTATGACTGTACGCAACTCACAGTATCTGACCGAAGCAACAGCACTGTGACACCACACTCAGAAACTCACCTTGCCCGTCTTCCTTGAACACCAGCTCTCTTTTTTCTGACTCGTTCTCATTCTTACCTCGTCGTCTGTTTTTACCTCCTTTACCTAAATGTTACAAGAGGAGAAAAGAATACGCATTACTACCTGTCAACACAGTAAGAGTTAATCAAGGGGACTCTGGTGCATTTTTTCCACGTCAATCTCGAGCGCCTATTCAGATTTTAACATTTTTATCTTTAAAGTCACAAGCAGATGGCAATGCCCATCAGAAGAGCAGAGCTGCGGCTTTTCAGAATGGCCTGGGTTGAAAAGGACCACAATGATCATCCAGTTTCAACCCCCCTGCTATTTGCAGGGTTGGTCGCCAACCAGCAGACCAGGCTGCCCAAGCCACATCCAGCCTGGCCTTGAATGCCTCCAAGGATGGGGCATCCACGACCTCTCTGGGCAACCAATTCCAGAGCATCACCACCCTCTGTGTAAAAAACTTCCTCCTAATATCGAAGCCCCCCCTGCCTCAGTTTAAGACCCCCGTGTCCTATCACTATCCACCCTCGCGAACAGCCGTTCCCCCTCTATCGCAGCCCCGAACGCCCGTAACGCGGCGCCGCAATCCCACGCTGCATGACGGCGCTATTTAAAAGGCACACACGTGGCGCCGGGATCAGGTGGCGTTCGTGGGGATGCGGAGGAGCGGTTCGGTGTTTCCCACCCCCCGTTTAGAAGCGCGCCGCCGACCGGCAGCGGGGCGGGATGCGGCAGCGCTCGCACCCAGGGGCCCGGCCCGCCCCGCCCGCCTCCCCCCCGCGGCCGCCCCGTCCCACAGGCCTCCCGCACGCCGCCGGCCCGCGACCCGCCGCGCCGCGAGCAGCGGGTGCCGGCCGGGCTGCCCGTGCCCGCAGTGGGGCTCTCGGCCCCTCGCAGCCCCGCCCGGCGGCACCGGGCCGCGGCGAGCCGCACGTGACAGGCGGCGGCGGGCGGCGAGCGAAGCGCGGGCCTCCGCAGCGCGGCCGCTCCCGGGCCCGGCTTCCCGAGGCGGCGGCGGCGGCGGCGAGAGGTCGGGGGGAGGCCTCACCTTTATTCTTGGGCATGGCGGCGGGCGCTGCGCCGCGCGGGGCTGGGTAGGGGCGTTCGGGCCTTCGGGCGGCTCCCGCGAGGCGGAGGCAGAACCGAGCGGCGGCTGCGCGCGGGCTGAACGGCGCGGCCGGGGCTGCGGCTCGCTCGTACTTTCCTCCCCCACGGCGCCCCCCGGCGGGCCGGAGGACTGGAGGGCTCGCCGCCGCCTGGCGGCGCCGCTTTCCCTCCTCTGCGCACGCGCCCCGTGGGGAGGGGCGAGAACGCGCGCTCCCGGCGACCGTCGGGTCCTTACTGTGGCGTAGCGTCACCTCCGTGGGCGGTGCGAAAGGCGGACGCAGGGCGATTGGTCGGGCCTGCGCGCGGGGCGGGCAGCGGCAGCCAATCGGAAGCTGCGAGAGGCGGCTCTTGGCGGACGCGGGAAGGCTCGCGTCCCCGCCCCGAGCAGCCTGTGCGGATGGGAGGGCAGCCAGCGCCCGGCAGCGGGAAACTCCCTCCCTTGGATGCGGGCAACGCTGCCGCAAGCCGTAGGCGATAACCCTTCACTGAAAGGGTTGTGAAGCACTGGAATAGGCTCCCCAGGGAGGTGGTTGAGTCACCATCCCTGAATGTGTTTAAAAACCGTTTGGATGTGGTGCCCTGACTTAGCGCAGGGTTGTTAGTTAGGGTAGTATGGTTAGGCTGTGGTTGGACTCGATGATCTCTACGGTCTTTTCCAATCTGTGATTGGTTCTGTGATACTGTGAGTGATTCTGTGATAAGCTGTTACAAAGATCAAACAACGAGTGCTTAGGAGATGATTATGTATCATATATGATCTCGTAGTTAGGGTGCTGCAAGCCTCGGTCAGTGTTAGTAATCAATAAGCAACAGCTTTTATAATAAATAAATTATCCAACAAAGCAATTTTTAATATGTTTGAAAGTTTATTCGCAGTAGAAATCTTGATTTCTTTTGAAGACTACAAAACCTGCCATTGGACAGGAGTACAAGCAATGATCTCTCTCCAGAACTGCTCATAGTTACATCTGGAACAGTTCTAATTACACATTAATAACATGATTGGAACACTTCCTAGATCAGACTCTGAATAAAACAATCATTTAAAGTATTCAGTACATTTTTTTTTTTCTTTTAATTTTACTAGCATTTCAACTCTATTATGACAGCAGTGCCAGGCATCTAACAGATGCTATTGTAATGGTCTTGCTTAAGGTACAATACCACTGACCTCCAGGAATAGTACCTTAGATTCATGTGCCATGCTGAGAAAACTAGTATAAAGTATGATTGTACAGAACTGTAGAAAAATATTTTATCTGTGATTTTGTCATTTTTTAAAAATGTTTTAAGTAGACTCCCTCCCACCCCCTACCCCCCTCCCAGTTGCAAAATAATTACATCCCTCATAAGTACACCTTCCCTTTGATTAGGTCAAGAGTATCAAGATAAAGCTAATTTACACCATTTTCGTAAGTGAAAATTCAGCTATTACCCATTGCTGCTTACGGACCAGCATATCTCAAGTCCTCTCCTTCCAATAATAGAAAGCACAGCTTTAGTTGGTACACCACATTTACAAAGCAAAACACACACACACAAAAACAAACCTGGACACACAGTTCTATTTTCTTATGTCCTTCTCTCTTTAGACAAAAGTTTTAAATATTCTCTTGAACAAAACTCGCAAGGAGTTTCTCCAATGCTATAGTAACGATGAATCAAGAACTTTGCCCTTACTGGATATAGATGGCATTTAGTAACTACTGCAACTGCTCTCTCCCCTCTGTTCTCTCATGCTCTCAAGTACAGTAAGCGGTAATCTCAAATGAAAGATGACCTACACATGGGAAATCCATCTGTATCTGCAGTTCTCCTTTTTCTAATACTCCACAGCTTGGTATCCTACAGACAGCTGCTTAGCTTTGCACCAAGTAGCAGTCCAGCAATGAATGTACACAGTGCCACACATGCTCAAGTTCTAAAAGAAAGGTGCAAGGATTCAAAGCAGCATTACGTGGATTTCTTTGTAGCTTCTAATAATTGCAGCTACAAAACAAAGCATGACAGTTGTGAGCATGGCTCCAAAACCAGAGGTAAGGTACTTAAAACACAAGAGTCAAGCCTGACAAACATATCACCTGTGAAGATGGGCCATTTCCACCTTGGTTTAGAAAAATAAACTACAGTAGCTCTAGACTTCAACTCACTCAAGCTGTTACACACTGAACTGTTTTACTGGCATTTAAAGGTCCATCTTGTGCTGCTATATATAAGATGGTCTAGACTAAATTATCAATTTACATGAGAATGTGGGTATCTAAAATGCAGCAGTCAACATTGCTTGACTGTTTGGCTCGTGACCAGTGAGCCTGAGGGCCACAAAATATCGCTGAAATTAAACTAGTGAAAATTTTGTATTATTTTTACATAGATGTTGCCAATAGAGAAGCATCTCAATACTTCCTTTCGGCCTGTTCTGCACCAGCTACCTATGCATGTGCACACTGAGAACATGGGAGAAATTCCTTCCTGAACTGAAATGTAATTATCGACACACTACAAAGTACTGCCATCCCCTCATTTCAACAGGACCCATTTATATAACCTGTTGGCTAGACATGACAATCTTTGGGTTAACACTTGTTTTAAAACAGTTCCAGAAGGTGTAGTTTCTAGGATATGATACGCCTGACTTACAATCAGTTACAGAACTGAAAACACATCATCTGAAAGGCAAGAAGGTTTTTACTAAATACCTCTGGAAATGCAGACACTGTCAAGCAAAAGAAAAAAAAAATTAGAAATCATGATGGCATTTTTCAGCCTCTGGTCAAAGATGTTTCTTGAACAAGGGGCAGATGCATCCATACAGCTGAAGGAAACTGCAGTGCTAGAGCACCAAGTAAGGGAAAAATACTAATTGCCATGAAAAGCTGTGTGCTTACATTTCTGGAATCTACAATAATTTAACTACCGTTGTTTCTAGAACTGATTCCTTAACAATTACAGGTAATACATGAATCTGACTGGGACAATTTTTCATAGTTGATTATAACGACCCATTCTTAGCACATACAGATCAGGATGATTCTCCTCTCAATTTATTTTGCCTATTGAAGTGATCTGAGGAAAAAAAAAGGAGAAAAGACAACAGGACATTGAAGCCACTGGTTTGGCAACTGTAACAAATGCAGTTTAAATCTACTTTTTCTGGGCTTACTAGTAGGCATCATGTTTTGCTTTATCTTCAATGCTGCTTTTTTTCTATAATGCCAAGATTCATTGAACAAATCCTCTGCAGCTTAAACAAAAGTCACAGAATAGAGCTAAAATATTAACAATGGATTATAAGCATAAACAATATAGAACTGTCCTCTATCAGAAAGTATTCAGCAATGATTCCTGAGTCCAGAAATTAGATGGGGAAGAATAAAAGGGAGGAGGTGGGGGCAAAAGACAGTGAAATACGGAACAAGTTATCTTTTCTCTCCATTATATCATCTATGTATATATAGTATGGTGAGAGATCCACTGTTTGAATTCTGAATACTATAAACAGCATCCTGATTTTCATAACATGACATGCAGCGTCAAAAACATGGAAATGTAGAAAAAACGTAGGCAAGGAGAAATACATATTCATAGTATTACATTCAATAGCTGTTTAACAGTCAGGCTTCTTTTAGAGCTGTCCAACAATACTGATTAATCCAGGTGAACTGTTTAATCAGACTTAATTGTTAAAATGATTAATAATATCTAAGTAAAACAAGGCATGTATACATTAAAGAAAACAGCACAGAAAAGTGCTGCTCATGAACTGTTTACAAAAACATACAAAATGTTGGATGGCACAAAGTATATAGTGCTAATATAAACAGATAGTTTAAGCTAAGTGCTTAACACAAACTGTCCATCTCTACCTGTAACAAAGAATATTTCAGGGGACAAAAATATTCCTTATAAAAATAATGCTATGTGGTGCAGAGTGCTTTATTCAGTGTATTTTTGACGGAGGTGGTATTTGCAATTCTTCTGGTTGACTCAACTGTGGACATGATTGTTTTCATTGTGTTTCCACTTTTCACTCCATTTGAAGCTCCAGTAAGATCAGTAACTTGCCATCAACAGTTTAAAGCGAGAATAGATGAAAGCAGTAGCAGCAGCAGGAGCAGCAGCATTATAGGTACCAGCTGGGACAGAGTGTGCTTGCAGGTATCTGTGAGATATGTGCTACCTGTCGCCATGATTTGTGCTATCATCTTATACCAAGGTACCAAATATCTGGTTGAGGTCACTTCACAGGGCTGTTGAGGTAATCTTTTTTATACCTCTCCTCTGAGCAAGAGTAGAACGGCCAACTGGCTCCAAAACTGGTGACTGATTACGATTCAAAGCAGAGTAAGTTGCTGCCATTGCACCCTGTTGTGAAAATGTCAGAGAGGAAAAGCAAGAAGAATTCATTATGTACATCACTCACAGAGATCGCACAAAATTAGGTGTCAGAGACTGCCGACAAGTTTTAAATTCTAGTCTTATTTTCACCTACAAAACAGAAACACACTGCTGCATTACTCAAATAACAGCAGTATTGTGTGTGACTTTTGTAGTATAATAGATAATTTTCAGATCAATCTGAAGCTATCGTATCCCTACTGAAAAAAAAAACCAAGACCCAGAATGTATAAGAAATACAGGAGAAATAAATTCTCTCTCTGAGATAGTTAGGGAATTAAATCCCATCAGTAGGTTGTCCCTGCTTGTAATTTGCATAACCATTTAAATTTTCAACATGATATTTAAAAGTCACCCACGTTACTCAGCACGGTATTTTACTGGCTTTTAAAAACCTCAAAGTTGTGAGCCATGGGATCAGAACTTGCTCCATTTTCCACTTGTGATTTTGGATGCCAGAAATTCCTAATAACTTACGCAGAGGGAATGTTAATTATATTTTTCAGATTCCTTTTATGTTGCTTTTTTTTTTTTTTTTTAATGTATTTCATTGTACCTTCAGTCCTACAGAGGAGTAGAATTAAGCTTTCGGTTACCCACAGTTCCTTCAAAGTGAGAAAGTATAACATGGTCACAACCAAGTCGTGTTTCAGACCAATGGAGTATGGAACAGATACCATATTAACACTGCCATTTCAACTCACCTTCTCTATCTTACACTGTGGTTGTGAATTATTTTATTTCCCATTAGTCAATGATGCACTTCTCTGAAACTTTAAAATTAAACTATTTTTTAGCTCCCTATA